TAGAACTGTAGAAGGTGGGTATAGTTGGATAATGTTGGTGACTGGGTGAGTGTCTTTGAAGGGTATATCGTGGCCTTGACCCCTTCCTATCTCACCTCTGCTTTCTGGCTATCACAAGGTGAGCAGCTTTCCAACCCCATGCCCCTCCCCCACAATGTTTCTACCTTGATAGGGGCCTAAAAGCAATGGTGCCAGCCAGTTGTGGACTGAAACCTCTGAAACTAAGAGCCAAGATAAATCCTTCTTTAAATTGTTTTTCTCAGGTATATGTCACAGTGATGAAAAGTCTGACTAACACATATGTTAATAACTTTGGAGTGTGACTTGCCTTTCTGAGTCTTAGTTTCCCATCCTGTTAAAGGTAACCATGCCCCAGACACTGGAGAGAATGCCAGCATTTCTGGCAGAAACTAATTATTTCTTATTACCTGAACGAGGTGCTGATGTGATAGGTATCTACAGTTTTGTTTCTTTTTATATTATCAGCACCTAACAAGGAAAGGTGTTGATTACATGCTGATAGACCTTCTGCTTAATCTACCAAATGAACGAGGCAAAGGCATTCTTATAGCTCCCCATTCAGTGTTCTACAGTGGACCCCATGTGCTGGGCTCCTGGCCAATGCAGCCACATGTAGCTTATTGTTTGCTAATGATGGGTGTTCATCAACTAAACTTGTTTTTAGTGATTTCTGGTTGAAGCCAAGGTGATGTAAATTCACTACCTTGGCTGTGTTAGATGTGCTCCATTGATCAGAAAGCACAGTGCTGTCCTGTTGAGAATTTGCTGTGGCATGAGGTGCTGATGATCCAGCAGGAGAAAGGGATGTACAGTTAGCAGTCAGATCTACAGTTGCACTTTCTCCATGCCTGGTGTTCCAAGCTGTATGAGTTGAGGCTTCCACTCATGACAGTCCCTTTTTAAGGATTTCCTATGCTCCTGTTCCATGCCCTTGCATGTTAAAGCTGAGAACATATTTTGTAGCTCAACAAGGAGTGCATATTTTTACATGCTACCTTAGTGAGTCATTTTGCTTTCAGACTTTTAAATTCAGAATTGCTTAATTATGTCCCATGATGGGTCTTTATGCCAAATGCCTCCCTTGTCCTGCTTCTAGAGCTGTATTTGCAAATACTAAGCTGTTTTGAGACTGGCTTTAGGATAATCATATAGTTAAAGTGAGCTAATTCAATGAGTCATTGCAGGTTAATTTTACCTCCTTCATACATAGTAAGTGTTTTATAAATGTTGGTCTCTACAGTTGCTAAACAGCCTAAAAGAACTGAGCTTATACCTTTAAAATTCAACCTTACAATTCTTTGAAAAAAATACTTTTCTTGGTTGTGATTATTTTGTCTAACTGGAAAAAAACCCCAAAAAACGTGAGTGAGTTAATTGTAAAAAAGTCCGAATGTCTTGAGCCTGTCGTCTGAGATGTTACCCAGCACAGTGGCATAGGACTGTCCAGGCTTCATTGGTGTTACTTTAAGATGCTTCTGCCTCTGTCAAAGTTTCAAGGAGCCACATCTGGGGAGCTAATGATACGGTCTTGGGCTTTAAACTGACCACAGATGAAGTGGCTGTGGGTGATGTCATGGGGATTAAAGCATGTTATCTGTAATGAGAATAAATTCCCACTGCTGAGTGCCACAGTGTTGAACACCAGTCTTTGGGCATGATTCTCTGTGCTTATTTTAGAGCCAAATGAAAGCAGGCAATTATCATGTTCTTTAACTATCATCAGATGAGCAGGATACAGGTAGCCACAAAATGGAGTTATTTAAAACTCGACTCACAAAATCACTTCAAAAAAGGTAATAATCTGCAAGTCTCTCAGCAACTCTAGCTAAGGCTGTCTGTGAGTGGAGAAGACAGGGAAGGTGGATTTTGTAACCTCTTCAGTGGCTGTAGTATCAGAAAGCACCCTTTACAATGGAAGACAGGAGTCCTGACCTGGGACCTGCCCCTGAGCAATTTAGTTCAGTCCCAGCTTAGAAGCTGGAGGCTTTGGAAATGAGAATCCTGAGCTTCCTGTCTGTCTGGGTGGTGGGTGGTTATCATGGCGAGGGGGGCCTCACAAGCCTAACCAGCTGGTCTTGTGAACAATTGGTGCAGCCTGGCTGGGGATTCCAGGACAGTCCCTCAGCTTGAGTTGGTTATAAAACCTCGTCTTGGGCAGCATTTCCTGTGACTATCCAATGAGACCCAGGAATGGGGCACTGGTCTAAATTTTAAGCATTTCTGAGAATCTATCACCTTGCATGTTTACAGAAAGCAGACTCAGGTGGATTCAGCTTGGCCCCAACTCATTCTGGCTCTGCTACTAGTTAGCTATGTGAATTTGGCATGCTATTTTGCTGCTGAGACTTGGTTTGCCCCTCTGGAAAATGAGGATTATCAGAATTTCTCTTTAAGAATGTGCTTAGAAGAATGCTTTGCTTATGGTTGCTACATAGAGTTAGCAACCATCAGATGATGTTATCATGGTCCTTGGCTAAGAAGGCCATCAACAGAAGTCACTATAGAATCTCCTAATAACCACTCACAGCTCCAGAGGTGCTACATACAATAACAAGCAAGGTTTTTACTCTACAGTGCCTGCGCCAGTGAGCTGAGAAAACAGAAGTCTTGTCCATCTTCCAGCCAGCTAGGTAAAGCCTGGCTGTGTATCTTCCGGTTGCATTAAACACCATCCCATTAATTAGTAGTGGTGATGAAAAACATTCTAACTACAGCATCTGTAGTGCAGCCTCTATTGAATGCTTCCTCTCCTCCAGGTACTGTGCAACACAGGTCACTTCCTTTAGTCCTCATGACTACCCTCTAATGTAGTCATTATTCTCATCATTTCACAATAGGAAATTGAGGCATCAAAAGAGTTTTAAAAATTGTAATAAGCGGATGAGTTAGGGTTTGTGGTCAGGTTTTAGTTTCAAAGCTAACATTCTGTTATGTCACACTATGGGCCTTTGGGAACAATAGAGCTTTAAGACCCAAACTCAAAAAAGAAAACCCAAACTCAAAAAAGAAAAAAAAAAATGAAATCAGGTTTTCTGTTGTAAAGATCTTAAAAAGTCCCACATACTTGCTGGCATGTTTCGGTGTACTTCTACACACCTGGTTATTTAGGCTTCAGATAATCTCTAAGTCATTTGACACATGAGAAAATGAAACATCAGAAGCAACTTGCTGTAGATCAAACCCTGCATATATGTAAGCACCAACTTCTAAAACCAACTTGTCCTGCAGTCCTGCATTATCATCTCTAAGCCTCCAGCCATTCATACCTGAGTCAGCCCCACTTTGATACTGGCACAAGAAAGAACTGAGCAGTAGGAAAAGAGTAAGCCAATGCTAATTCTTGGCAAAGCCTAGACGTCCCTTGCAGGATCACCAGTAGAAGTCTCCTGAGTGAGAATGGGGACCAGTTAAGAGTTATCTACTGTGTCTGCAGTTGACTTCTAGTGACTGGGGCAGTGTCAGGGCTGTGTGAATGGTAAAGTATATATGGAGACTTTCCCAAGTATAATGCTTGGCTAGTTCATGTTTCCATAATAAAAGCTTCTTGTTTGTATCTGCGTGGAGAAAAAAAGTCAGAGGATAAGAATGAGGGATTTTGTTGTTGGATTTTTTTTTTTTTTAATAAAGGAGAGGGCTTGAGAAATGAACAGGAGATTGTGTGACCAAAGCCCAAGGGAAGCTGTATATTGCTGGTTAGAGCTCATTCTATCAAAATTTGATCAGTTGTGGCCAGTTATCTACTTGGTACCCATAGGTGGCACCATGTTTAACCCATAGGTGGCACGATATTTACTTTACATTAATGTCTCTAACTTAACTGTGCAGAGAAGATCTTCATACCACATTTCGCACTGATCCCTTTGGTCTCGCTTATACCCTCATCTATTCAAGATTTGTGAAAGAGGGAAAGCATTTATGCATTCATCCTTTGAAAACCGAATCCTGTTTCCATGCTGGTGTAGTGCTAGATACTTAAGGGTAAGTAAGAGACAGATCTGACAACCGACCTGCAACATGGAACTTTAATTCTAGTGTTCTGTCCAAGCACAGCAATATGTACACTCACCACTAAACATTGTATCATTTGAGAAAGGAATTGCTGTGAGGAGAATTCCATAGAAACATGTAGAAGTTCACCTATTACACTATTTAAAATCACATCTGGCAACTGTTACATAAATCAGGTCAGACTTGATGTGTCTCTCTTTGAGGCTGCTGGGAATTGTGAAGGGCAGTGGGGGAAGGGAAGGTCTCTTTTGGCTACAACTTCTGAGTACAGAATAAGGTATCCCTCTGTCAAAATACTCTAATGTACTACCAGAAACTCCTATTCACCGTCACTTTGTTTAATAGGGAAATAGAATACCTAAAACGAGTATATAGTAAACATTTTTGCAGAACAGAGCCATACTTTTATCACAAATGTGGGTAACATGTTTACTTATTTCATAAACTGTGCTATTTTTAAGAATAAGAACACACTTGCTATTGTGGTGGTGGGATTACAATCAGGTTCTCCACAAATTGTCGATATGCAGGGCTTGTCTCTTTGAGTGCTTGAGAAATCCTTTTCTTTCCTTAACCCAAGGTTGTCCTTCCCTTGTGTCATCCTCAAGTAGGTTCCATCCGTGACCCAAATCTAGTTCAGAACAGCGTATTTGCATTGAAGTATCTGAAATAAGCAAATCATCCTTGTTTCAACCAAAATGACTAATTTACCAATTTAGGGGGATTCTCACCTAATCTATCCTTCCCATTACCTTAATTCTCTTTGTTCTTCAAATTTCTAGTGATAATGGGACTATCTCCAGTATTAAACTCTGTTGCGTTCGTTCCTTGTTCTCTCACTACTTGGGAGGTCCACCTTATTTTGTGACTATTGTACTTGATTCTGTGACAGCTCACCTTGCTGGTACCCAGCATTGTTTGGTTCCTGCATTTTCTCATTTTGTGAAGCTCTTTTTCATTCTTCCCTCTAGAATTACCCTTTATGACTACCAAGCCATGTGTAGAGCCAACAAAGAGAGCAGTGACAGTGCCCATGGGCTCCTGGATGTAAGTACAATGCCATCAGCAGGAAAACAGCTGCACATTGGTCGTTTTCCCTGTGAGAATATCTCCCGCTTTCAATTCATCAAGTTTATCTGTTTTCAAAACCATGACTATTTAAAGGTGTTTCCTGGCTTTACTTATTAAGAAAAACTGCTTCTGTTTCAACCCAAATCCAGTGATTATATGAATAAAAACAAGGTCAGATGTCTTTGATGGATTAATGCAGCAGCCTGCTTTTGATGGACAGAAAAAGGGGAGAAGTTGGGCTGATTTTCTGATTATACAAAAGAGAATTTGGTTTTGTCAACAGAAATGGAGCTTTTAGCTCATAAATGAATTCAAATTTTGGGGGTAGATACTTTCCCCTGATCATGCATTACCTTCCTTGGAACTGGGTGCATTGGTGATGATACAATTTAGGATCAACCAACACAGTATTGTATCATTAGAAATGAGCTCTCCAGTGACCCAAAATTTATCATTATCATTTACTCCCAGTTCTACAATGTAATTAACAACGTGCAGAAAACATAGGCTTGGCCATCAATTATTCAACCAGAAAGAAAGGAAAACAGATACAGCTTTATATAGTTCACATGTATATAAATGTAATCCTTGCCATGTTATGCTTTTGTAAATACCAAAACTTAGCCAAAAATTTGATTTGAAATACGAGATTTAAAAGCCATTTTGATTTTAACATATATACTCCTTCTTATCTTCTGCAAGATCTTTCAAGGGGATTATTTTAAAACCAAATATTTTTATACAAATTTCCTACAGAAAAGAATTTAGAGCTGGAAGATTTGAGTGACAACTAGGAGCTGGACATTTTGGAAAAATACTGCTCTTTACTAAAAATGTGTCTTTCTCCAAATTTAGCATGAATATTTACAGCCTTGAAAAGTTCCAAGGATAGGTTTTCCTCATTAGGCTTAAAAGCTCAATGGCTTTATCCTTTTTGAGTGATAATATGCATTTAAATTTTTAATCCCATATTTACATAATCCCTTTGTTTGCTTATCTGTTGAGCCAAGGTCTACTGGGGAATGTTTGGGTATCTCTGCCCCTATGCCAAACCTCCAAATTTCTTGACTTTTTTATTTATCCTTTTAGCTCTGCACCATACTACCCATCCTGGCAGGGACAAAGACACAGAATTGTCCCATAGTCTGACCACTTGGGTCTTTTGGGGGAAAAAAAAAGGCATAAAGCATAAATGGCAAAATCATGAGTCTGCAAGGTTACATTTGATTTTAGGAAACAGTTAAAAGTTCACACCTTATCTGACCCTAATCCTGCAAGCCCAGAACCCTCTAATTCATGGAATGATGTAGAAGTACTCAGTTAAATCAGAGCAAGAGATACAAAGTCAGAAATCTGGTGTCTGGGTGGGCTGGGAATAACCCCAGTGGAGTTTTTTTGTTTTTTGTTGTTCTGCTCATTTACTTTCTGGCCTGAAACAGGAACATTTCTATAAATTTGTTCTTATTTTATTTAAAACTGGATAATTCCCTCATTCCCAGTTCTAGTTCTTGTAATTAAAATGCTTGGAGTAGGATTAGACAGCATCACCTCAGAAACCAGGATTTGGCATGCATTTCAATTCTGTGATACCTAAATGCAACCACAAAAGGTTCTGAGATTTTTCTGGACCTGACATCTGGAGCCCGGCTTTACCAATGTCATTGTCAGTCCCTCACATCCACCTCCCACTTACATATCTGGCATACCTAGGTACAAAGAGCCAACTGAGGGGGAGACTTGGTATTTTCCAGAATTCAGGAAATTGAATTATCCACATAGGAAATATCACAGAGTAAACAATCCGACTGCTTTTTTTAATTAAAGTATTCTGAAATAAAGATTAGGCTGTCAATGCCTTCTTTTATAGAGCAAAGGGGATTTTCTACAAGGATAAAATCACGTTTATATGGATATCATTTTTTCAAGTCCAAATATGTAAGTGCGAGAAAAAACAGCTCAAATCCTACATAATTCATGGATGGCATTAAAATCAAGTGTATGCAGTTTGTGCTTATTTCAATGGATGACATACAATGATGGAGAACAGGGAGTCATCTTTCCAAAAGTGAGCTATATGAATTACATTAGAAATTAGTTTTGTGATTCCAGACCCAGAGTATTAGGCTGCAAAATATTAGTCCCTAGAGGGTAAAGTTTTTCAGCATTGTTTGTGGGACTTCCTTTTTCCTCCCAGTGATAACCCTTGTATTAGATCATGTTTATTTTACTAGTAAATCACATCTCACTAGAGGGGAGTTCAAAGTTTTAAAATGTTAGTTTTGGGATACAGTATCCAACCGTTTTCTTCCTTCAGTTAGAGTCACTGTTTTTAACATGATATCAATCTCTCTACAAGAATAACATTGTCTTTATGTAAAGCCTTAAGTCCAACTCCAAATTTTGTGTGTGATACATTGTTTTTAATGATTGAATTTTTCCCTTCAGCCTTATAATGCCTTCCTCTCTGCAGTGAAGTGGATAATGACAGAACTTGTCTTGTAAGTACAATCTGTTGTATTTTTTTGAAAACTGGTTGTTTTTCTTTTTTGCATTATAAAGTGAATTGGGGAATTGGCTTCATGCTTTCAATAAGAGTATTCTTAATACTCTGTGGTAATCTCATTGAACATCTCAAATTATTGAAATCAAGACCAAAGAAATTATTGTTTGTTAAGTTATTCATGATCACTCCTTATGCCCTTATGTCATTGTTTAGCAGACTAACAGCTTGCAATACACAAACTGAATTTATTTATTGTGGTTACTGTTAAATTTAACATGGATGTCTGGCTGTTTTTAATGCAGCCTGGGTGGGCTGTGGTCAGAAGAACACACTGTCACGGCTGTCCACTGCTACTCTGGACGTCTCTGCCTGTGCAGGAGTAGGGCTTCCAGGGGCGCCAGAGAGGGCTGAGGGCTTTTCCCAGGTGTGATTTAATTGTTTACACTGTCAAATTATGGTCGTCTTTGGAAAAATGCTGGATGCTTCTGTGACTTAGGTCAGATTTGAAATGTCACAAAGATGAAAGGCTTGACTTCCAGACCAGATACTGGACAGATTGCAGCAACATTGTGTCACATGCAAGGGAAGAATTCCATGGACAAGCATGTCAACCAGATTAAGTTGCAGCAAACTCTCATTCTTCCTTTCCCCTGCCCAGCCTCCAATTCTCCAAGTTTAAGCCAGATTTGTTGTCAGTTGATGAACAGATATTGTCTTCATTTTTGCTTTAATGTAAACTCTATTAATTTAATGAAGTTTGTAAATGGGGAGCAAGTTCCCCCATATATATTAAGAAACAGAAAATATACTAACAGTTAATAGTGAGGCTTTGCCTAGAGGTAGTACTAAGGATAGTAGCAATGAACATGCCTGAAAAATAACAAGATTTTGGTACATCTCTGATCGTTGAAGGATGGTATAAATATTTTTGCATACTTTACCAGCAATTGATAAATTTTGACTTTTTGTAAAGTAGGGTTGTGGCACAATTTCATAATGGAATTTTGTCATCCCCCACCCCCACCACTACCATATATATGTAACACTTGATCAAGCTCAAGTTGCAGTGTAAATTTTGAAAGCACCTTTTATCATTTCAGATCATAGTCTGGGTTGAAGAGAAAACTCTATTTGTTTTTCTGAGCCAATGTAGGATATAGTCCCTTTAGAAATTTGCTTGCTTATTGTGGAATCACACTAGATGGGATTAAAAATGAATAACAAGTTAATAATACCTTGAAAATAAATGATTTCCACCAAACAGCAGGATAGTTCTCAATGTGGAGTCCTTGAGTCTAGGTGAGCCTGATTTCGTGGTTGGACTGGCATTAATGGTAACATAGCCTTTCACAAGTAAGATAAAGTCTGGTGGAAATTAAGGGGGAACTCAACCATCTGTGTTGATGTCTCCAAAGTGTGATGTTATTTTTTCAAATGAGGTGAGCAGCACCAAATAACACAGGGGAATGGCTAACCAAGTAATATTGGGCTTTCCCACCATCTGTTTAGGTTTCTGGTGGAATTTAACCTCTGCAGTTGGTGGCACTCTGATATGACAGCTAAAGGTAAGCAGCAATGGGTTTCTGTTTCCCAGTCTGAGTGATAAACCCTGGGTTCACTGCCTACTTTTAATCAGGGATGTGCTGGCTTGCATAAAACCATGCAGGACAAAGTGATGATTTTTCATCTCTGTCAGCAAAAAGCTATTCTTTGTGCTGAGTGCTGTGCCATCCAGTCTGACACGAAATTCCACAGGCTTCATTCCACCCATGTTGAGTGTACACTTTGACCTGTTTCCTTAACGAAGGTCTCGGGGTTATACACTGAGCAGGTAAATTCTTCAGAAAGCTGGTGACCAATGCTAAAATCTAAGGGAGACAGATATGTCACCTGTTGTTAGGCAGAGTGAGTAGTGAATAGACAACCAACCCTTTTTTATGTCCACAATGAATGACCCTTACAAAAACATGAATATAATTATATTATTCTCCCTGCTCAAATGCCTTCAATAATTTGAGCTGTAGTTAGTAGATACAGACTCATAGATGCCTGAGTTGTAGAGATAGGTCAGTATGTGTTTGAGGTTGCCCTGGAGGCTGGTCTTTGGCAAGTTAGCTGATCTCTTCAAAGCTCAGTTTCCCCATAGTAAGTATACTGGGAAGAATAATGTTTATCTCCTAGGGAGTATGTGTGTGTGTGTGTCTGTGTATACAGGATCAATCATGTTATATGCTGACCACAGTAATTTGAGCAAGAGGGCAACTGTAATTAATTCCTGATAATGGTGATGACAATATTGACCATGTCAATAATGGTGATTACCTTGAAACCAATGCTCCATAATAAGCACTGTCCCCCAGCAGTCTTTCCCAGGCCTGCTCAGCCAACTGCTATTTTTCAGATACACTAACGTCTTTCTTTCCTTCATGCATTCATTTTATTTTTAAACCAGGGATGCTACAGACTGGCAGATGACTAGCATTCTTATTTTTAAGTATCTGCTTATAAAAATGAGATCAACTAGTAATATAGCAGCATTTACTCAGGTGCTGGGTATATTTTTTTTTCTGGCATTCTTTTTTCTTTCCTCTTGGGTTCCCAGACTGTAGGGATTCCACAGATTCCCCCATGCAGAATTAGCTATTCCTTTTCATTATTCATTATTGCTTCTGCTTGTTTTACACTCAATTAGGATTTCTTTCTTTCTGTCTGTCTTTTTCTTTCAATGGAACTGGGCGTTGAACTCAGGGCTTCACACTTGCAAAGCAGGCTCTACTACTTGAGCCACACGTCCAGTCCATTTTGCTCTGGTTATTTTTGTACATGGAATCTTAAAGAACTATTTGCTTGGATTGGCTTTGAACTGCAGTCTTCCCAATCTCAGCCTCCCATGAGGCTAGGATTACAGATCTGAGCCATTCAGCACTCAGCCTGGAATTTCTTGATATACAATATGTCTTAACCATAGTTATCTCTCAGCACCCAACTTTGCTTCCTACATATCCAAAGGTGCTTCATCTTTGCTTAACTAAATATCCTAACAATCATTCTTGTGCCAGGCATGACCTGTCTGTCTTTTGCCCCTCTCCATGAGATGGGTATACATGTTGAATGGCAGTGGAGACCCATAATCCTACTTTTAGAAATTTAGCCTTAGGAAATAAACTGAGATGGTAACAAAGCATTTTATGATAGGATGATCATCACTGGGGAATGTATGATTACAATTAATAGTATCTTTCTAAATGTCTAACAATAGGACATTTTAAAATAAATTATAACTCATCCACAGAAAGGCATATTATGCTATTTCTGCAGTTTTTCATTTTTTTTAATGGCTTTTGAGACAGTTTTGCAATGTATCCAGGAACGACCTATGGTCTGGAACTATCTGTGAAGCCCAGGGTGGTCTTGAATACTTGATCTCAGCCTCCCCCATGCTGGAATTGTAAATGTGCACCACCACACCCAGCTCTTCAGACTTTTTAGTAAAAATTCTTAAAAAGTTGCTCACGTAGCTAGGTACAGTGGATCTTGCCTGTAGTCCCAGCTACTTGAAGGGCTGAGGCAAAAAGATTTAAAACTGTACATACACCAAAAAAGCTGCCCAATGGTGGGGGTGAGGAGAGATGTAGCATTAAGTCAGATCAGAAATCAGGTGAATAGGGAGCCAGTAGACAGATACCAAAATATGATTTAGGAAAAGAAGACTATCATGTTCCAAAAAATGTTCCCTGTAGTACAGACTTAGGTTGGTTTTAAATTGCACATAATTTGAAAAAGAAAGGATAAGAAGGAATCTACTTAATGGGTGCTCATTTGTCTTTTTCTACTTATTTGATTAGCTTTTCCATAATTTTACAAAAAGGTTAAAAATAAAAACACAAATGAGATTAAAAAGGAGAAAGTAAATCTACAGAGGCTAAAAGAATGGGGCACATACTGGCTAAAGGCTGCTCTTTGCATACCACCAGTGACCTGTGGACAAATTCCCACAAGCTGGGAAGTCCTGGGCAAATTACTTGGAGTTTGATATCCTTATTTGTCAATAAACATGTGGTTGTGAAAGATGAGTTTAAAACTACATGTGGCTAGTAATCCTAGCTACTCAGGAGACCAAAATCAGGAGGATTGCAGTTCAGGCCAGCCTAGGCAAAGTTTTGGGAGACCTCCCCCCCCATCTCAACCAATGGCTAGATATAGTGGTATGCACCTGTTAACTAAGCTATGCAAGGAAGCACAAATAGGAGGATCACAGTCCAAGCTGGCCCAGACATAAAGTGAAATCCTTTCTCAAAAATAACCAATGCAAAAAAGGCTGGAGGAATAGCTCAGGTGGTACCTGAGCTAGCAAGTGCAAAAGCTCAATCCCCAGTAGCACCTTAAAAAAAAAAGCAACGCCAATATGCAAGTACTCTGTGCTTGGCTGCTTGCATTTTGGGTGAGTAGTGATGGTTTTGACTAAAACATCTGGCTATTTCTTACGAGTGTGCTCAGAGCTAAGGGCTGCAAGCTAGTTGTCTTCATTGGTGTTTGTGAGACTTTTTTGTCACTGTGACAAAATACCTAAGAGAAACAATTTAAAAGGAGAAAAGACTTAATTTGCTCACAGTTTGAGGTGTCACTCAATGGTTAGCTGGCTTTATTACATGGGGCCTGAAGTTAGGCTGAACATCCTGGCAGCTGAGTGTAGGACTGTTCACCTCAGGGCAGACAAGAAGCAGAGAGGAACAGGAAAGGGCCAGGGACAAAATGCAGTTCCTAAGGACATGTGCCCTGTGACATACTCCCTCCAGCTAAGCCTCACTCCCTAAACCTTCCAAAACTGTACCACCAGCTGGGGACCAAGCATTCAGTGCATGAACCTGTGGGGAACATTTCATATTCAAACTACATCATTCCATCTGTGACTCCCAAAGGATTATGGACATCTCATAATGCAAATGCATTTAGTTCATCTCTAAGAGTACCCAAAGTCTTAACAGTGCCAGCATTGCTTAAATACTTAATTCCAAAGTCTTCTCTCAGACTAAAGGTAAACTTTAAGCTGTGAACCACTATAAAAACAAAAGCCTCCAAAGGGAGGAATTGGGCATAGAAAGGAGAGATGGGACTGAAGCAAGACTGAAACCCAGCAGGGCAAATGTTAAATCCTGAAGTTATATATCTGGCATCCAGGGCACATGGTATCATGACATGACCTTCAAAGGGTATGATCAGCCCTGCCTCTATGGCCTGGGCATTTGCAACCCACATGACCCCTCTCCTGAGCTGGCTCCACCCCTTGCTGGAAGCTTTTCTGACAGATGTTCACATTCCTGGCACTTCCAACTTCCTGGTCTCCACTGCAGCTTAGGATTCACCCTCATAGTTTCACACATTGCCATCTCTGGGACTGCCTGCAGGGATCCTGACCCTGCCACACAGCCTGGCCTTTCATGCTTTCCTTTGAAATCTAGGTAGAAGCCTCTATGACTCTGTAAACCACTGCATTCTGCATGCATGCAAAACCATCATGTGGATGACACCAATATCTGCCACCAGCTCAAGCCATAGCCAGGCCCCCTTGGACTATGGCCTCAGCAGTTTCTGACTGCCTGGGTGGTTGAGCAGCTGGGGGAAAAAACTTGGATCAGTGCCAGAAGGGTGGCCTGGAGATTTTCTGTTCTCAAGGGAAAGTCTTTCAAATGAGTTCATTCTTTTATACCCTTTAAACTATAATGGGTAAGATGACCTCAAGGCATATTTGCTGTTGTCTCCATGCAAAGTACTTAACTTCTTTTCAGTAGCTCTAATTTCTCCAGAAACCATGGCTTTCTTACCTCCAACTTTACACTGCCTGTTCTGACCAAACTGCAAGATTTCCATGTTTTTCTGCTTTGCTTTTTGCTCCTGATTCTCCATGTAGACCTGGCTAAAAAGCAGCCGGTGATACCCATACAACAGCCTAGAAATTTTCTCTACCAGATTAATTAGTCCATCTCCTTTAAATTCAGCCTCCACCAAAGCCTGAGGGCATGAACAAAATGTAGACCCAGTCTTTCCCACAATATGACATGAATGCCCTCAAGCCCAATTCTCAATAGAATCCTATCTGAGCCTGGCCTTCACTGTGTGCATTCCTGTTGGTGTCCTGGTCTTCTGGTCTCCCACCAAAATCACCCATTAAGCTCTGCTTATAGCATCCTATGACTTCCCTGGCCTATATCTACAAACTTTTCAGAATTCTTTCCACAAGTCAGTTGCAAAGACTTAAGAACTACATGGCTGGATTTAGCCACCATAAAACCTCACTTCTTTGGTACCAGTTTTCTATGTTACTTTTGCACATCTGTGACCAGAATACCTGAGAGAACAACTTACAGGGAAAAGATTTATTCTAGTTCACAGTTTCAGAGGATTCCATTCATGGTTGCTTGGCCCTATGTATTTGGGCAGAACATTATTGTGATGGGAGCATTGGTGAAGGAGGTTCTTCACCTTATTGTGGACAGGAAGCAGAGAAGCAACAAGGGTCCTGGGACAAGATACAACCCCCAAGGACATGCCCCTAGTGATCTACTTCCTGTATTCAGGCACCACCCCCAAAAGTTTCTAGACTTCCTAAAATAGTGCTTTCAGCTGAGGACTAAACATTCAATACATGTACTTGTAGGGGCCATTTCATATTCAAACCATGGTAAGTGGCTGGGTTTTGGCCACCTTCTTCACAAGCGAGGAAGGCTCTCTTCTTCATGACAACCTTCAATCTGACTTCCTGCTTGACCTATTATTTCTCTTCTCTGTAACCTGCCACCTCAGACATCTACTCATACTCTTATTTTGTTCTTACAGATTCAACAATTACTTTTGAATTTTTTGTGGCGGGCAGGTCATTGTGATCTTTGCCTTCATCAGTGGTTTTCAAATGGGGGACAGTTCTGCCTCTAAATATTGAAATATCTGGAGACATTTTTAGCTGTACAACTTGCTTCCAACAATTAGTTGGTTAAGGGCAGAGATGCAGCTAAACATCCTACAACACACAAGACAGCTTCACAAGAAAGCATTATCTGATTCAAAATATCAGTGGTGGAGCATTATCAAGTGGCCTTGACTGAGGGGTGTAGAGAAGGGGGCAATGAATAAGAAAGATAGGGTCTTTGCATGATTTCTACAGACACTTTGGAAGGTCCTCTTTCTGAAAATTTCACCTCCCACCCACTCCTCAGCTGGTCCAGCACTGGTCACAATTTCAGCTGAACGGGATAATGTGATGTTTTAATTCTGTTTTCTATCTTAAGGATCTTGTTTAATAGCTTCCTAACATAATTTCAAAAAGTCATCTCATTTCACTGCCAAACTGTGAGACCTTCTTCCCACAGACTGTGAAAAGACCTTGTGAATCCCTTTCAAATTATCTTCAAATCACTTCAACACATCTGAGAGGTAGGCACTAGTAGAATTTGACACCAGCCCTCTCTGAAGCACTGAAGTCATACAGATCAGTGGATACACAATGATAAGTTGATACATGGTGAGTGAGTGGGTGGGTAGATAGATAACTCAGTCCTAAAGTGGTTGGATACAATAATTGTCTAATTTGGGCCCACAGCCATATACTGGGCATGAGAATTTTTCCATTTTATAGATAAAGAAAATAAGCCAAATGAAGGTATGTCAACTCATACACATAGGGCTGCTCTCATTGGACTGTCTTATTAAAGGAAATGTAAATCTTAAACCCAGTGTAGGGAAGGAAAAGTTTCAACACCATGTTGTCTTGGAAGATTTCTTCATTCTAAATTTATCATTCCCTCACTAGATAAAGACCCTGAACTGAGACATACATCTTTGTTTTAGCTAAAAATGGAATCCATAATTACACTGTTTATCTGCTTCATTTCCTTAATGAAGGGGACTGTGGAAGCCCATTTCTGCTTGATTATCACAAAGGTATCATTTTGGTGAGGTTGCACAAAGAGAATGGAGCTTTCTGGCACCGGGTTATGAATGGGAGTGCATTCACAGAGACAAAAGAAGAGGAAGGCTTTTCAAATGGCGAATCTATTCATTCCCAATTGTCTACACATAATTACTGTGAACCCAAGTCAGTTATTCTCATCAGGGACATTTGTTGCTAAGGGAAAATTAAAGAAATTCAATTGTGTGGCTGCTCCATTGGCTGCTGCATTGTGAGTGAGTGATAGGTCATGGTGACTTCAGCTTTAGACATCTAGCATCACTGGGGTAGAGGCAGAACAGGATGATGGTGAAGAGTGTGTTGGCTCCTGGATGTGACTGCCTGTACTCACATCTGAACTCTGCCACTCACAGCAGTGTGACTTTGGGCAAGCATCTTAATTTCACTGAGGTTTAGTTTCTTTATCTTCAAAATGAAGTAATAAGAGCCCTTGCTCACTATGTGGTGATGAGGATTTCATTCATGCAAATGGCCCAGCACAGTGTTCAGTATGTAGTCAGTACTTCGTGAGTATACCTGCAAAGGTTTTCATTGTTCACTGTTTAAGTAAATAATTATGGACTGGACTGGTGATGTAGATTAGTGGTAGAGCACTTACCTATCATGGATGAGGTCTTGGGTTTAATCCCAAGCACTCAAAAAAAAAAAGTAAATAATGATTACTTAAGTTATTCTCTGTGGGACTCAGGACAGTCTGATTTCTGAGATTCAGTTGCTCCTTCTGGAAAAAGAACTAGCCTAGCAAAGTACCATGACACTTGTATACTTATACTTTTGTAAGATTGTGAGTTTTGAGCACCTAGAAATAAAAAGAAAATACCAAATGGATTGGTGACAGCTTTGGTTATTGCTTTGAAATTCCACAGATAAATGGTAGTACCTGATAGATGTGTAGCACTCCACAGCACTTCAGACAAAGAGAGGTCCGTGTTATGTAGATTCAATGTGGCTATGGTTTTATAGGATAATCTGTATGTTTCCCAAAAGCACATCAAGCGACTTCCAGCCAATCTGTAGTCATGCTGCAGACTCAACGTTTATCACCACATCAGCATGGGTACCCTGCAATTGTCAAAGGAAAAAGAATTTCATCTCCATAAAGGATCACAGCCAAATGAGTTAGGCCTTTGAGAGGGCTGGACTCATTCCATTGTAACTGGGCCCAGACAATTAGAATTAGAAATGGTGAAATTATCGGGCTTATTTAAATCACGTGTGTGGCTGCCTCTCTCAGTCTGCCCCAAAGACCTTTCTTACTTTCATCCATTGGCCCAACTCCACAAAGCAGTGAAACATATACATGCTATGGGCAGACAGCTCAAGTTTAAATTCTTGCTCTGCCACATCCTCCCTGGGTGAATCTGGGCAATTTATTCCAGTCCTCTTGCCTTCACTCACTATCTACAAGCAGAGAGAATAATTGTTCATACCTCAAAGTTTATTTTTTTAATCTTTCCATGTTTTAGTGTTAAATAAATTAATACATATAAAGCTGAACAGCATCTGGCACACAGAAATTCCTTAATAAATTTAGCTTATACCAGTTTTAGTCTTTCATATACCATCTACATGCACGTGCCAGATCCACTTAGAATCTATGCTATTGTGCATTTAATCTTTACTTCACTGTAACTAACTTTTTGAATTCAAATGCTTTAAATATAAAAAGGAAGCTTCATGAAGGAGTAGTGGTTCATGCCTATAGTCCTAGCAACTAGGGAGACAGAGATCAGGAGAATCATTGCTAAGGCCAGCCTGAGGAAAATGTTTTCAAAACCCCATCTCAACCAATGACTGGGCACAGTGTTGTGTGCCTGTCATCCAAGCTATGCAGGAAGCATGCCCCATGTATTGCCAAAAAACAAAAACAAAAACAAAAAAAAACCCAAAACCTTCCTGAATTGAATATCAGAACCACTTGTCATATAGAGAAATCAATTGTGAGAATGAGAACTGTGAAAATAAAAAGTGTTTCCAAATTGTAGACAGATATATTGAGGCTGGCTTTTGATCTCCCCATTTTAAAGGAGAGAAGAACAAATGAAAAAGGAAGAAAGGTGGTTATCCCTAGTATCACACAAAGATGCCCTCTTCACAAAGCAGGCACTAAAAAAGAGCTGGAAGGAGAATGAGATTCCCAGCAAGTGCCCCTCTGTGTTGTCACATGGGCCTGGGACATCAAAAATCACCTTGCCTGCTATCTGAAAGGCAGGCAATTTGTCATAGGGGACTGAGATTCTCACATTTTCTTTATCCATTTTATTTGCTTAAAAAACACAATTCAGGAGAATTGCTAGTGTGTTCAGTAAGCATTTGATGACCCTTCCCATGACCTAGTACTGCTGGGTACAGGGGTGCAGTGTTTGGGACTGGATCCTTCAGGACAATAACAGCTACACATATATTAGGTGGGATCAGAAAGGCAACCATCTGCTTGAAATTGCTATCCAAAAAGAAACGTCTCAAAAGGTTGGAGGTATAAGAACTGGAGGAGGATACATAGAAGTCATGATGGTAGTGACAACAAATGCTTACACGTGCCAGTGACCTCCACATGATATTTGGTTCTCATATAGCCACATGAACTTGATGCTGTTATCCTCACTTTGCAGATGAGGATGCTGAGGTGTAAAAAGGTGAAGAATTCATCTGGTGTCACACAGACATAGCTCTACCATACAATTAGCCCAGCGTCTGGCATGTAGATGGTAATACCACAGACCCTGGCATTTCATGAAGGCTTTGTGTGTGCTTCATTTTGTTAAGAGATGTACATACATTAGTCCATTTATTCCTCAGCACGATCCTGTGAGGTAACTATAAGCATCTGTCCTTAATATCAACGGCCATTCCTGGAGTCATATGTTCTGGTGAAAAAAGCTAAAAAAAGAACCTATTTCATTTTATTTTAAATAAGAAAAATTGCATTGCATTATTCCTCAACCCAGAACAAAGTCAATGGAAAAGCCTGTCCATAAGAAACAGTCATGGTCTGATATAGCATGATCACCCAGCAATGATCTGATTATTAGCAAACAATTGTTTTGCAGGCACTCACCTTGATGGCTGTCTTAGAACCCACAGTATCCCAGATGGACAGGCTTCCATGGTTCTGACGTCCAACCACGTGGATCTGGATATAACTTGAGACTTAATATTCCACACATCACTTTGTTAAAATCCTATTGAGTTTGGAAAGTGTGAATAATGTATGTTTTTCTCTATATATATGTCAGCCAAAAAAATTATACAAAATTTGGGTATGGAAACCTATAAGCATTCTATTGGGAAAATGTTTATTAGCAGGCCTCCTGTAAAGAGTCCCTGTACCACTAGCATACCCCTTTTACAGATGAGAATACTGAGGACTACCTAGAAGGAGCAAAGTTGGGAGGATTTGTTTTCCAAACGTCCCTTATATAAGAGCCTTCACCTTTAACCTCTGTGCTATAATATCCATCATCACTGTCATCATTTTAATATCACAATGACTGCATTAGAATTCTTGTGTTGGTTGTTGCTATTATTATCTGACATTTACTTCGCCCTTACTGTGTTCCAGTGCTGTGCTAAGTATTTGAATGTATTATTCCATTTACTTCTTGCATAAACTTCTTTGAGAACTTCCTTTTTCTTTAGTTTACAAATGAGAAAATTGAAGCTTAGAGACATTTTGCATCTTGTTCTCTGGACAGAAATTGTTTAAAATATTTTAATTAACTACCAAGCCTTTAGAGAATGCCTACTATGTGCTCATGCATGCATCAGAGTTATTTAGTGCTTTAAAACTGACATGGTATATTATTGGACAGAGAACTTCATAATAGTAGGATTTGGTTCATGGCTGTGCTTCAAAGACATTACGTATTTTACTATTTCATATTTCAATTTTCTCTCTATAATAAAACCATGCAATTGTATCATGACCTTTGTCTCACCCTAAATAATATGGTATAACTTACATTTTATACATTTATTCAGATATACATATGTGTTGCTGCTAAATTTGAGTGAGTCTGAGGTCAGAGACCCTGTTACTGATGTCCCAGAAAACAGAATTCTTGTGATGTATAAATGATAGCTGATCAAGCCAACACAACTGCCTCAGGAATTATAGCTTATGGAGTTGCTTGGCATGATGAAATCACTTGACTAATTAGAAAATAATGCACTATGGTGTGCCTAGAAAAATCACAGAGCAGCAGAAGCAAAACTACATTCTGAATTACTGTGGGCTGCTGGGCACAATATTGAGCCTGTGTGTTGCATTCTTCATCTTTTTTTATTCCTCTAGCCCAGAAATTGAAACAGACCCTGGAGCCTTGTGACACTGAATATCCAGCCTTTGTCTCTGAGCGCACCATCAAGGAGACCACAGGGAACATTGCTTGTGAAGACTGCTCTAAGTAAGCCATACCCAGCTCCATTTCCCATCCCCACCCACACATTCCTTGTAGCTCAGTAAACAACTTTCTGAATGGATGACCATCTTACACACAATTATGCTGAAAGATGGAAAACATGGCTGCTGTCTTGTGTAAGAACATTATTCCTCTCACTTTGAAGGAAGCATTATTTGGTTTTGTTAGATCATTTCGAGGTTGGGAAGCATTCAAATATCCTAGAATAGAGATTGTCAGTCCAATTCGTTGATGCTTGGAGAAAGTCCTAATTGGTATTTTCCCAAATGATAGTTGGCAATTTCAGTTGTGTATTCAAGGACCATCCTGAGGTGTCTTTATTCAAAGCACCAAGCCCTCAGATTCAGCCAGATCCAAAATGGAGAATGTTTTCTTGGTGGGCTAATGTGTGTTTCCCTCATTACCAATGAGGTTGTACACAACCTTTACAGTTTTAGGGATCATTTGGGGTTTTAGCCGTTTCATTTCTGTCGGGGCATTCCATATTGGGTAGTTGGACCCATTCTTATTGATTTTGGTGTTCTTTCTATGTTTTAGATACTATTTCTTTACAATTACATTTATCATATATGTGTCTTCCTATTCCTTGGTCTGCCCCTTCACTTTTTGTGGACTTGTGATGTTTATAAGTTGTGTTTTTATTTTAACACAATCTAATGTAGTCTTTTACAATATTTTTTTTTTTGCATCTTGCTTAAGAAGTTGTTTTCTGTTTTAATATTATCACGACATTTTCTTTTATTTTTATTCTGAACACTTGCATGTACTACTATGGGGTTGAGTTCTGATTTGGTCCTTTTTCACATAATTGGCCTGTTAACTGCACTTTCTTTTTTTTTTTTTTTGGTTGAACCCAGGGCTGCGTTCAAACCACAGTTTTATATATCTTTATGTATATATGTATGTATATGCATATATATTTGTATGTATATGATTTTTTATTGAACAGTTTGTTTTCCCATCAATTTGTGACAACACCTATATCCCATCTAGATGCAGATCTATTTCCTCATTTTGTTAATACTTAGATCAATATCATATCTCCTTAGTGACTTTTCTTGCTTTCATAAATGAAATATATTTAGAACTACTTTTTTATTAGTACATATTAATTATACAAAGGTGGTTCATTGTGATATTAAAACTAGTTTTCTAATGTGTAATCTAGTATTTGAGAACGTCATTGGTCTCTGTGTATTGAATATCTTGTAACCAAGAAAGTGCTAATAGTCACATATGGATTCTCTTGGACTTTTTACAGACAGTTAATATTTGTAAGAAGTTTCCTTTCTAATCTCCATAACCGTTTTGTTGTTTTTTGCACTAGACATATATTACTGAATAGATGCAATGGCAGAGGTAACCATGGTTGATTCCTAATTTTAAGGAATTGGTCTAATACTATATAATGTTATGTGTGATGTTTATTAAAAGATTTTGTATTGTAGTAAAAGAAAAATAATGTAAAATTTACTACTTCGACTATTTTTAAGTGTGTAGCCTAGAGACATTGTGCAGCTATGCCTGTTATCTGTTTCCAGAATTGCAGTGGGGTTTTAGTAGTAAGCCATTATTAGATTCTGCAAGAGGTTTTGTTGCTATTGTTATTGTTTAATTTATCAAAAAATGTTTGCATATCCATTTAAAAATAATTTACCTTAATTTATTCATATCTCGAGGTACATTAATGTTTTAAAATTTTAATAATATTTACATCATATATACATATATATGTATATCTATATACATAGTCATTGCATGGTAACATTTTGGTCAATGGTAGACTGAATGGTAACATATTAGACAATGGTACTGTATGATGATGCTCTATAAGATTATATTACCTAGTGTTGTAAACATCTTAGTTTGTGTATACTCGGTGATGTTCAGGCAATGGTGAAATCATCAAATGATACATTTCTCAGAACATACTCTGGCTAATAAGAAACACATGGCTCTGTGTGTGCTGTATAAGTACCTTTAATAGCAAATTGTATGTGAAAACATACTTGATTTCGAAGGATGAAACTGTCATTGTCATTATTACAAAAGAGCAAAAATATTGCTAAATTAATTTTGGTTCTATTATCCTGTGAACTATTGTATCTATGGTCAAAAAGGAGACTGGCTAGATATTTCCTTTCTTGTAATATCACTTGGCTTCACTCTTAAGGTCTTTCTATTGTTACAAAATTACATGAAGAGTTTTCCTCATTCTCTAATATCTATACTGTTTCTTGTAAGATGGAGAATTTGTTTTGTGTAGGTTTGATAAGACTCGAAAACTCCCAGTGACTGATGAAATTTGTGTGTGTGCGCGTATGTGTGTGTGTGTGTGTGTGTGTATGTGTAAGCTATAACTACTGAATCAGCTTCTTTTGTGATTAGATAACTGAGGATTTTATGTTTCTTTTTTGAAATGATTTTGGTGATTACATTTCTTAGAATATTGCCCATCTCATGTTACTTTTCAAGTCAATGGAAGGCATTGACAAATAGTGTGCCCTTTTGATTTAAAACACTACCATATTTGTGATTTTCCTTGTTTTGTTTTTCTTTCTTTTAAATAGAATTATAACTGATATATAGTAATGGTACGTATTTATGGGATACCATGTGATGTTTTCATACTTGTGTTTTGAACATTGTGTAATGTTCAAATTAGGGTAAACATATTTATCATTTCTTTATGGTAAAAGCATTCAAAATCCTTTCTTCTAACTTTTTTAAGGCAATATGCACTACACTGCCACCTTTTAAATTTGTGGAGTTTTAATTTCTTTTCTTTTTTGTCTTCCTGTTTCTCTCCACCCCATTCTCTCTTTTCCTTTCCAGAGATATGTTTGTTTTTTCTTTCTTCTGTGTTTTGAGTTTACTGTCTTTTTATTTTTGAACATTTTGTGTCTGATGTTCAGCTTGTGTGTGTGTGTATTTCTCTGTGCATTCTACTTTCTCTCCAATAGTTTAATATTTTGGCTTTCATTATTAGTCAGCTATAAAAATTTTTCTAACTTGAAACTACTTTTGATCTGTAAATGTTTAAATAGTGTTTTAAATTTTCTAATGCATGAGTTTTGAGGCTATCTTTTTGTTATTGATGTCTAATTAAATGGCATTGTGGTCTGTATAGCACATGTTCGATATGTGTGGAAAGTTGCTCTGTTTTGGAGACTTGTCCATGTGGTTTTGAAAGCTAGTTATGTTCTCTAATAGCTGGGTACAGAAATCAATATGTATCCATTGGATCAAGTGTGATAATTTGTTTCAGACCTTCCTTTTTTTCTCTCTTTTTTGGGGGCAGGGTCTATTTTTAGATGTCAATTTGTCTGTCACCAGAACTATGTTACTCAATGCATCTTGAGTGACATATTTTGAACTTATATTATTGTGGACATCCCTGTTAAGACTATTATAGCTTTTTAGTAAATCATTCATTTCATCCCTATGTAATAATCCTCTTGATACATAAAGTACTTCATGCCTTAACATCTACTTTGTTTGCTAATTACATAGGTAGAATAGCTCTTCTTTTGGTAATATTTGCTAGGCATATTTTCCCCTTCCCTCTGTTTTCAACCTCTTTGTTTTTGTATTTGCATCTGGATTTTGCTGGATATAGCTGGATTTGAAAAATTTTTAACTCTACTATCTACTCAATTTAATCTTTTAAAACTTATCGTGCTTACTGATAAGTCTGATTTCTTTCTACCATCATTTTGTTTTGTTTCCCATGTTTTTTGTCTGCTTTTTCCCTTTTTCTTCTTTATCCTCTTACTCTTCTCCTCTGCCATCTTCTTTTTTTACGTTTTATGGAATTTGTTGAGTTTCCTTCATTCCTTTTCCTCCTTTTAGTGTGGAAGGTATATCCTTGATTCTCTTAATAGCTATCCTTGGCCTTTTTTTAACATTTTTTTTTTATTGGTTAGAGCTCTTTCCTCCTCCAGAACAAACAAGAACTTAGAATTCTCAAATTTGTTTTGCTTTCCATCTCATTCATATATTTTCCACCATTTTAGTTCTATATTTTTAATCTAGTAAATATTTTATCATGTATTGCTGAATATAGTAAATTACATGTTCACCTCTTTCAGAACCAATTTGTTTACTCACTATTATTTTTTTTAAAAAACCCACATTACTTTTTGTTTCACAGTAGTTTAGAAATTTCTTCTGGAATGATTTGAGAGTGGTAAATTTCTTATTCTTGTTTAAAACATCTTATTTGATACGTACTCTGTAGTAATGATGTAACTTCACAGAGCTAAACTGGAATATTTTGAAGATATTCCATCGTCTACTGACTTTGAAATTTGTGCCTTTGTAAGTAGTCTGTTTCACCTTTTCTGATGGACTTTACAGTGTGCACTTTCTGTAATCTTCTGACGTTTCACTGAGGTAGTTCTAGATATAAATTTATTTCTATTTGTGTGCTTTATTCTGTATGGTGTGTTTAGATTCATATTGAAATCCATTAGCTTCCTTTTGGTTGTATCTGGTTTGTTGGTAAAAATCCATTTAATTTTTAATACAGATAAGTTTCTGGAACTTTTATTTGCTTCTTTTGAAAATATGTTTCTTTTGCACAGAGTCTTAAGTTCTCTGTAATAAATTACAAAGACCTTTTTAGATTGTTGTAATAGTTTAAACTGGGGGATAGCAATCACCATTTTTTTCAGTCTGCTTTCTCTTATGATAGATCATTTGCTCATGTTACTAGGAACTGATTTTTTACTATTAATTACTCTTGCAGTGGAAACAACAGAGAGCTTGAGTTTCTCTTTACAGTAGATTTGCTTTGGGGCTTCTCTCGTGTACTATTAGTATTGACTGCTGGGGAATAATTGTTATGTAAGTATTTATAGTTAGGGGCTTCTACACCATATAATTATAGTAAATATTTTCCCTAAGCAGCATATAGTTTAGGCTGAATGTCTGATTTCTTGTGGACACTGTTGCCTTTTCTGTTCAGAGCCTCAGACA